CATGTACATATGTATTTTTCAATAATACATCCGTGTTCTGTACATGTCTTAAAGATTGGGTCAAATTCATGTTTTTTTAAAAAGCAAACATATAATACACGTATTATATATGTACGCACATATTTTTTACAAAATTTTCAATAAGACACACAAAATTCACGTATTATACAAATAATTCTCACATATTATTGAATAAAAATAATATATATTAAAATATTATATAGTGTCCGAACTTTTAAGTTATAATTTGACAAAATTTTGCCGAATAAAACACGTATGTATCTTTTCCTGTTTAGTATTTTATAAATAGTATAGCCGCTCGGCTATACTCGGCTTATGTAATATTTAAAACAAAATAGCTCGGTTTTGTGAATTATACAAATAATTCTCACATATTATTGAATAAAAATAATATATATTAAAATATTATATAGTGTCCGAACTTTTAAGTTATAATTTGACAAAATTTTGCCGAATAAAACACGTATGTATCTTTTCCTGTTTAGTATTTTATAAATAGTATAGCCGCTCGGCTATACTCGGCTTAATGTAATATTTAAAACAAAATAGCTCGGTTTTGTGAATGATTCTCAAAATAGTATAGCCGCGCGGCTATACATATCCAATCATTTAATCGACGTGGCGTACCAGGCGTAGAGATTCACATAGACAACCCGTGTACCATTTCACACTGGATAGAGTTTGACTCTAACTTACGCCTTAGGCGCGGTGTCTCCCCCTATAAATATCTCTCCGTCTCAATTCCGGAAAGTTCTGTATTTCTATCGTCTTCTTGAGATTCCGTTTCCCAAATCTGAAAGCCCTAATTTTTCAAATTTGCAATTCAACAGCCGAACATTTTAGGAATTACCAGCTTAACTCACAGATAAAGCTCCTTTTTGGGATTATATGGGTGAATTTAACATGGAGGATATGCCTCTACCCGCTCTCTTCGAGCAAGCTCAGAAGATCCATCTCACAGCGACAGAGTCCGGCGATGTTGATCAGGTACACCTCTCCACACCATAAGTTTGTGGGTACATCATAACTTTTCATTGTGTAATTGATTTGGGTGATTCGATTGCGTTTGTGGTGGTTTGGATATTAGGAGGTGGTGAGGAAGGGATGCAAGGCTTTGGAGAAGTGCGATGAAATGATAAGCAAGCTGGGCTTGTTCTCAACCAACGAGACCAAGGAGGATATCAGCACCACCAATCTCAAATATCTTCTGGTAATTCTCCTGGGTTTTTTAAATTTTTATATTATGGAATTGTGAATGTTTTCTACCAGTCTGCATTTAGCAGTCATTTCAGATAATAGCTCGGAAAGCTTTTCTCTTTGGTTTAAATATTATGAGCTTCTAATGGTATTTTGGTTACAGGTGCCATATTATCTTGGTGAGTTAACTGAAAAAGTTGCACAGGATGACAGGATACAGATTCTTAAGACATCCCAGGCTAAGTTAAAGGTGAAGCATATTCAATAGTTACTTGTCAGTAAAGCAATAAGATCATCGAACATATCATGTTCATCAATGTATTTGTACGAGAATATGTGTTCCGTTGAATAGTTCAAAGTTTATGTTTCTATTAAAGCTAAATTAGGAGGGTGACATCTTGTAGGAATTTATATCGTTTTGTGAGGCAATGGAACTTGTACCAGAAGAGGAGTTACAAACATCTGCGCTAGATGGCCCAAATTCACTTGTTGATAGAAGAGCTCTGAAGGTACTTTAATTTTCTTATCATATTCACTCAAATTTCTTGGAGACTCATGGCTTGTATAATTGCATTATTTGTGCTGCTGACTTGTTTACATTTTGGAGTGGCTAACATGTGATGTGAAAGTAGAAGTTTGGTGTTAGTATGCTACTTATTCTACTTGTTTCTGTATCCAGATTGCTCGATTTAAACGCCAAAGAGCTGCAGAATCAAAATTGTTGGAAATTAAGGAGCGGAAAGAGCGAAGAGGGCGTTCAACTAAAGCAGCTGCCTTGTCAACTCCTATTGAGGCAGGAGAGGAAGATGTGCTGGATGATGATGGAGAGGAGGAGCGAGAGGTTAGTATAGTTCTTGTTATGTTTATGTAGGGCAGTACATTAGCACTCATTGGACCCATTTTGAGTGCCAATATGCATAAATTACTGTTAGTGAATGTGGAGTCCCAATGGCATTCACCTCCTTGTTACTGATTTGTTGTTCGGTTTTACATTACAGTGTTTTGACAAGTTTAAATGTCTAACCACATCCCTTTTCTTGCAGGCTTGGTTTACTACTATCTCTTTGGCAGTTTGTAAGGTTACTTTATAGCTTTAAAGTAATCTTCCACATGAAATCATCTTTATACGTGTCAATTCATACTCATGTCTTCCTTCCATGCAATCATGTTCAGGCTTTTGATCTGCTGGAGATGCTAAAGAAAGAGGAAGAGATGCTTCTAGCTTTCAAGGAAAGGCAGTCAAAGGTAATTGATATCAACATCTGTGTGCTATTGATGACTTGTGTTGTATACTAACATTGTGGGTGTTTGAGTAACATTACTCTGTCATGAATTCGCAATTTTGGGTGATAATTGGAAGTGAAAAGAGGGAAAAAATCACTAGAGCATTGCACCAAATGTTTTGAGAAGAAAGCTATCTGTTCAGTATATTTCTGTAGTTAATAGATGGTTAGTGGGTAAAGTTCTAGTGTTTAAGTGAAAGAACGGGTTTTCTGAAAGGTTTGTCAAAAGAAAAGTGAAAGAATGGAGTTCTGAAAGGTTTTCTGTTTGTCATGTATTTCAGGATGGGAACAAGGAATTTTATCAAGATGTTCTTGATGATCGGGCCAAGAGGGCAGAAGCTTGGCATCGTGATGCTGCTGCTCGAGTGCAGTATACCAGACCAGCAGAGCCTATCACATGTGCAACTTTTGCTCAGGATGTTCTAGAAGGGCGAGCAAGTGTATCACTGATGCATGAACACAAACACCAGCCACTAATATTTGGACCAGCTAGTCTTGTAGGTGGAAATCCAACAAGTGAGAGGGAAAGGATGGCAGCTCAGGTTTTCCAGCCCAGTCATAGGTACATTTCCAGGGTCTGATTAATAAGTATTAAGTGCGTTAAAGGAAAATGGAGAAATACTTTATACTTGTGTTACTTGATATGCCAAGTCTAATTTATCATGAGCATATGATGGAAATATCTGGATTTTGTGTTTGTGATTTCTTCTTTTCTCATTTTAAACATTCCTTTGAGATGCCAAATTTAATTACTGTGCAAGGTTGCCCACCATGAGCATAGAGGAAGCTGGGCTGAAGGAGATGGAGATAATGAACACGTGGCAAGAGAGGAATGTTAAACTTATGGAAGAAGCCAATTCTGCATGGTACAAGGAGAGTAGGAAACCAGGACCGCCTGAGGACGATGATGAAGATGATGATGCTGCTCAAGATAAGGCGAGGGCATGGGATGACTGGAAAGATGATAATCCTCGGGGTGCTGGCAATAAGAAGCTCACCCCTTGTGGATAAAATGACACGTGGAGCAATCCTGGTTTACAGAAGCATTGTTTTCTAGAATTTTGATTTACTGGAAAGCTAGAATTTTGTGTTGTATTTTGTGTGTTCTTTTGTTGTCTAGATTTAACTTATGTATAGTACCCAGGATATTTATTTGAATAAAATGTTATCATGTGGGTCGAGCAAAGCTTTTCGTTAGTGGGGGTGAGTTGCCATGAAATTCTGATCCAGTTGTCTTTCCATCGCTGTCGATTTTCTGTTCATATATTAACTTCTAAAATAAGCTAATTCATTGCCCGTATTATGCTTTACAAAGTATACAGCTTTAAGATTTCTTGTCCAAAGTATACAGCTTTAAGATTTCTTTTCCGATGCAATTTGGTGATAACCAGCAGGTGGAAATGTAGCAACTATTCAATCCATCGTTAGCTTCAACATCTTTTATCAGAACTGGCGAGATAAAGAATCAAATAAAAGTCGAACTTTTCTTTTCTCTTCAAATGTGCCTTATTGGGCATGGTTATCTACCCACGTACGTCTCCTCAAAAGTTGAAATCTTGAGAATGAAATAAATGGCTCTCTGATTGATATTGATAGCCTAAAATGGTTTATAGGCTGAACCTCAAAATCGTCGAACTTGGCTTGGCATCCCTCGTCAACAAGATGCAGGCACCCAACAATAACTTCCTTAAAATGAGTGATCTTCGCATAGAGTGATTCATAACTTGCCTCTATCACACGATCTGTTGCTGCAAATGATTTTCTTGGAGAAGTGGCGACAACTTTTAAATGACTAGAACTTGCATAGGTCCTTTCCCATTTAGCTTGCCACATGTTCAAGCTCAGAATTATTGTGCAAGAACCTAGTTCATTGACAAAGTAATTCCTTCCTTAGGTTTCTAACAGCGGGTTAGAATTATGATATGCTCTAGAGATGCTTACATCGAAATTTCATATCCTACAGAAACTTTTGCTAGACACCAGTATGCAAGGTATTCCCTCCCTGTTTAACCTATGCAACAAACAAGATCGAATAAAACCTAGGCTAGGAAATATACTCCCTAATACTTCTTAATCCCTATTGTGCATCTCCTTCACTGCAGTCAAAGAATGGCGGAACACAATCAATTCAAGGGTTAATAGATAGAGACAGCAAAGGATATTATCCCACGGTTTAATTTAAAGATCCAGCGTAACTTATCTAGCATATGTGTATGATGAACCTCAAGTTTTTCAGAACACCATTACACTTAACATCATATATTTGTGTAATGTTAGAGCAAATGGCAGATGAAAAAGAGGTATTATCCATGGACGGGAAAGTGTACCACTGTTCCCCACTAATACTATGACTATTGAAGAACTGCCTATCTAGACAGTGATATTCATGATTTGATATCAAACGGAACCTCTGCAAAAGAGAAAATAAAGTAACCCCTACAAAAGTAAATTCTAGAAGGCAACGGATCAAATATACACAATGCAGGGAAAATTGAAATAAAAATCAGAAACAATCAACAACTTCCATTAATGCCAACAAACAGTTTCTATTGGTAAACCCAAATATCAAAACATTTGAGCAATTACAACATCAACTGAAAACAATGGAAGGAAAGTAAACACAATGCCCGCACAGTAATTACCTAAAAGTATACACAATTTGATGCATTACATGAAAAGGCTTATCGCTAACTGTATAACACAAGTTATACCGCTTAAGATACATACAAGAAGTTCACCGATAGGGCCAAGAAAGTTACCAGTACAGCAATAAACAGAGCCTGTGAACCCATCCCGATCGATTTCGCTAACTTATCCCTCCAAGAGCTTGTTTGTAATGTTACGGAATTCTCATTCATCTTCAAGTATAGCAAAAGCACAATACACCACTGAAACATCTCCCAAGAAGACGCCACAACCTTCCAGATCAGCCAATTCAACTGTCAATGCACTTGAATCCCCTGCAAACCCACAACCAAATCCCAAACAAGATGGCACAGACAAACAAGTCGAGCATCAACACCACCCAAACATGTTTCCTCCAAACTTGCTTGGCCTTTTGGCGATCACCTGAAAGCAAAGGACCATTCTTTTGTGTTTGCAATGAAAAATCTCTAAACCCACCATTAACGTCATCACAAACATCCACCTTCTTCTCCATTGTGGTCACATCTTTGCCAACATCCCCATTAAGCTCCCCAGACAATCTCTTCTTCTTCTTCAACCCTTCGCTGGTCTTCTTCCCAAGCAGCGGTGTCAAGACCAATTTCTTCCCTTTGCTCGAACTCAAGCTGAGATTTCGACTGGCTGGAGGAGAATTGGGCAACTCCAAGTCCGAGGCCATTATTTTTCGGATAATCGAATCAAACTGAGCTTGGAAGCAATGGGAGGCATAATTATCACGAACCAATATCGACCCACTTCCATTAGCCTCCTCAAAATCGCATTTTAGGCGGTTTAAGAAGGAAAGAGCCTCGGACTGATCAAGATCATCATCGAATATAGCAAAATAGACAAAGGGGTCATGGATTAAGAAGGTGTAGGTTCTTTTTCTCACCGTGTGAGTGTACATGGAATGGTGAGGTGGGGTTATCTCGATGCATTGTTGAACCAAGGGTCCGAGACCGGGTTCTTTGGAGAACTCGCCGATAATTGTGATTTTATGGGCAATGCAGGCGTAGTAAATGAGATTTGGATTCGAAATCATCGAATTGTTCTTCAACAAAATCAAAAAGTTTGAGGCTTCAATGGCAAATTAATGGCCTGGATTTGAAGGAGGACATGGGATTTTGATTTGGAATGGAGGCCGAGAGAATTCGCATAGTAACTCGGAGCTTCTAATTGGGATTTGCTGTCTGCAAATATCGACTGGTTTCGTGGGTGTTCGATTCAGAAAGATCAAATCTTGCAAATCCCCTCCCCACTCTAAACCTGTTTCTTGTAGATTTTCTCTTCTTCTCTCTCTCTCTCTCTCTCTCTCTCTCTCTCTAAATCATTTCCCTGAAGATCTTCCTCACTATCTATCTCTACACAAATCTCTCTGTAAATATCTAGGGTTTGGACTCCTCCGAAGGAAAGGAGGAATCAACAGTAGGATCCATGGGAAGCAACCCTCGAAAAGAAAGGGAATAACGGCTTTTTTTGTCCAATTTGCCCTTGTGCGAAAGCTTTATTACCGAAATACCTAATTGCAGCACGCCAGCAAGGTCAAAATCGAAATTTTTATTTTTATTTTAAATTTTTTATTTTCAACGTGTAAGCTTCAACCTCGGTGCTCGCTGGCCTGTTGGTGCTGCACATGTTAATCTTTTATTTATTTGCGTGGGTCACGGACATTTCCAAGGGCGGTGCAAAAGTGCATTGGTTTTTTAAAAAAATTAAACAATTCGTTAATCAAAGATTGCTGATTAATCACAATTCATTAGTAAATTTGTGTTGGTAATTAAGTTTGAATTTCTACCGACCTTTATTTTAAGAGTCTATGCAATTATTCTATACGAATGAAGTCAATGATTGTTGATAAATGTAAGAAACTTGTAGTTCAAATAGTTAAGAGTAGTTATCTTTGACGTCTTGTGTTCAAATTATCTTTAATACTACATGTATAATATATAAAAAATGATAGTTGATAAGTTTACATCGTATGATGAAAAAGATTTTGAAAATGCATTGATATAATGTTGAAGAATTAGAGATTTATTAAAGAAAGGCATTGTTGAATTGAAACTTGGAAGAACATGCTTGTCTTCAAACTAAAAATTCTCTCAATCTACTCTCTCAAGAATAATTAAGAGATATTTAGTCATATACCCATTCTTAGCACTAAAACTATAAATAAACCTTACACCATTTAATTTCTATAAACAAACCCAAAAAAACACCTAAAAAATGATAGCTGGCCATACTGAATTTATTTTTTATTATTAAATTACTTTGATGCCCTATTAAGTGTTTTGGGCTTTTTTATGAGGTTTTGGGGTTGGGTTTGTTTTAAGAAATCAATGGCAATTTTGTAATTTAAAAGAAGTTAAAAGACTTTTTGTTATGTTGTAAATGGGTCTTTGGTGTGTTTTTAAAGTCCATTTCATATAGAATTTTTTTTTTTAAATAATTTTGGCTCCTATATTGAGTCTAATAGTGAATCTCCCAATAATTAATCTTTACTTGATTTGATTACATTATTTTTTGCTTTATTTTAGAGTTTTTTCTTTCGCATTTTGATTAATCCAATTTTAAGTCGTGAAAGTAGCCTAGATCATCTGGAACAGTTAGGATGGTAAATCTAAAAACATTGAAATGATAGACATCAAAAGATTGAATGGTCAAAGTGTCTCTATCTGAAAGCTTAACTCTTTTTTTTTTTCTTTTATGAGAAATAATTTAGGAGGAAATTGGCTACTCTCATCACCCGCACCAAGGCAGTAAGCCTCAAATTTTACCAACATGACATTGACAACAACCATGAACCAATGATTTCCCTTGATACATTTTTTTTTTGCCTGCTACTGCATAATACCTTTAGGCTTAGTTTGGTATTGCTGTGCTTTTAAAAAAAACTGCTTCTGCTGTGCTGTGAAAATAAACAGCTATGAAGTGAAGCAGCAAAGTGTTTGGTAATCTATATTTGTAAAAGTGCTGTGAGTATAAAAAGCAGTCTTATAATGTTTGGTAAACTTTTTTATAGAAGTGCTGTGAGAGTGTATAATGACAATAAAGGGCACCATGATGAATTTTTTTTAAAAACCTAAAATTATCATAAGAAATAAAAAATGTATACTTTTTTCTCCCTTTTGTTTCCTCCTTTCTTCTTCCTTTCCAGGCCCCATTCCCTTTTTTTTTCTTTCTCCCTCGTCTGCTTTCTCTTTTCTTCTTCCTTCAGGGGCCCCAATTTTTTTTTTCCTCTCCCTCTTCTCTCCTTCCTCCTTTCTTCTTCCTCTGTTTTTTTCTTTCGTCATCTTCCTCATCCAAAATCTTCAAGACAAAACTTGTTTTTGTTGTGATTTCATACAAATTCTTGTTATAAAGACACCCGTCCCAGTTTTTTTCTTTTCTTCCTCTTTTCCTCTTCCTTCCCAGGCCCCCCATCTCTCAACCTTTTTACCTTTCCTCTTCTCCTCCTTTCTCTTTTCTTCTTCCTTCCAAGACTTCTTCCCTTCCCATGTTTTTTTTTTATTTCTTCCTCTTTACTTCTACCTTCCCAGCAACCCCCGCCCTCTTTTTTTTTAATTTTATAAATTTCTTCGTCTTTTCTTCTACGTTTTTCAGCTTTGAATGACAGCAACTTATTAAATAAGCAGCTTATTTTTGTTTTACCAAACACCCAAATCTCCAAAACTTTTTTTTTAAGCTGCTTATTTTTTAAGTTAAGCAATACCAAACTAAGCCTTATTCAGAAAGAAACAAACGTTTCCATTTTCTTTCACTAAATAAAGTAGAACAAAAAACGTCTCTATTATAAGGTTCGCCCCTAAAAAAGGATTGAATTCCTCTTTTTATATACTAAATGAATCAGAATGATGTAAAATAATTACTCTCCTGTACACTTCCGTGTAGACCAAAGAAATCAACCAAGACAAAAGCTTCTCTGTGTAAGTGTGTAGGATCTCAGCTGATGGATAAGAAACAGGATACGGATACCCTATACTTAGGACTCGGAGTCAATGAACCAGGAAAATTTTGGAGGTTATTCTTCATATCTTGCTTCTTATTTTCTTTTAGTCTTTTACTTCCTCAGCTAATGTACGGTGGGTCGATAAATGCCCATTCGAAGACCTGCTCGTACTTAACTGCAGCACTTTCCCATGTGAAGTCTCTCTCCATACCTCTTTTCATCAATCCCTCCCAAGAAGGCTTATACTCTGTGAAAGTCCTACATGCAAGTCTCAGCGCCTGTCGATTATTAACCGTTCGAGTTAGGATGGGGACAAATAATAATAGTAAGTTTATTGTGCTACCAGTAAACTCTGCAAGATTATAAAGTGCATCAGACGGACTTAACTTCTTCTATATAACACACAGAAAGTATGTGTGTTTCGGTTTTAAAAAAGGAAACAATGAACTAACTTACCGCCAACATGCTCTCTTTTGTCAGTGGAGAGAAAGTCCACCTGCCAATATATTCCACAAGGATGCAACAATAAGTTTGATTCTATGAATTTTTATAATGAGAGACTGTCAAGAAAATGCACCAAGCAATAGACTAAGTAAACATACCCTGTCCCGTTGCCTTGGCCACCTTGAGCATATGGATTAAAATTCAATACTGTATCCTGGAAAACAAATAACAGAAAGCGTCTAAGACAAAGAAGACACATGATGAAAGAACCACAATTAATCTTCCGAGTGTTTAAACTCACTCTAAGTCCTCCTGTGCTATGAACCACTGGTACAGTTCCATATCTCATTGCGTACAACTGATTTAGTCCACAGGGCTCGAATCTTGAGGGCATCAAGAGTATGTCACAGCTGGTAATTCCAGGATCAGGGTCAGTGCATGGACGTACATAGTAACCTCTAAACAATGAAACACAGATCTTAAATTACCCTGCAGTTATTCTATGAGAAACTGGGACATTAAATCCAACCCAACCGCGGAATTTATCTTTATATGTTGCTTCTGCTGCTCTCATCCAATCTTCACACAGTGGGTCCCCAGACCCCAGCATAACCTGAAACATATTACATACCTTTAGTTGAAACTTGAAACAACAGAGTCACAATGAAATGTAGTATCCGCAACAAAAGTTTTCAGTAGAAACTAAAACCCTTCTTTGTTGTATGACGGGAACAAACTACTTCAAATCATACAATCAAAATGCATGAAAAGGAGAAAAACTCACAAATTGCACATCATCTTCCATAAGCTGTGGCATTCCCAACTGAATCAGGTCAATGCCTTTCTGGTAGTCCAGTCGCCCAATGAATCCAATCTATAAAGTTCAAAACTCAAATCAATATTAGGAGCAGAGTATACTTTGCTGCCAAACCTGAGCATAAATTGAGATTAATGGCTTATGCCTTACCAATGGGCAATCAGGCCTAATGGGAAGACCTAATTCCTTCTGCAAAGCAAGCTTGCATTGAACCTGCAGTTGGCAGACAACAGGGGTAAGAGAACTACAGTATAATAACACCCCATCTTTAAATGATAGACTTAGCCACCTTTCCGGATAGATCATCAGCAGAATAGTGGGAAGCAATATGCACATCAGAAGATGGGTCCCATTCAACCACATCAACGCCATTTGTGATTCCTGTTCATTAAAGCAAAATTAGAAAAATAAAGTGCCATCAGCAGATGGTGTTATTCTCTTGATTAAGAGTTATTCTCCTCAATCATGGCACATTGGAAGCTAGACAATGAGATAAGAAGTTCAAGTGACGTACCAGTGAGAATACTCTTTCTACTGCTTAGTAGCTCATTTAGACCATATCCGCCTTCAACAGTTGTTATTTCCCAGGAATATCCCTACAATTAGAAGGTATTAATTGAACATTACAAGAAGAATAGCAAGAAGGCACGTCTGGCAGGAAAGTTCTGGCAAAGCTATCATCTCGACAATACAAGTGGCCTAAACATTCTATAATCATAATTACAGGAACAAGATTAGCTCACACTGGCATTTATCGATTAAAGCTTTCCAATTCTAGATATGAAATACAACTGACCTCGCTGACTGTCAGAATCCGATCAGATGTCACAATTGCACCCTTTAGGATGTTCACTGCTTCACCTGTGTCAAGAGCATGGGTCCTTGCCCATGTTGGAAACACCCATTCCAGTGCTCCATACCACTCTGGAGGTATCCCCAAATTCTTGAATGTTACTGCAGGTTCCACTCCCTTATTACAAGACAAAAATTTATAAGATTACTTTAAAAATAACTACCTTTTTATATTGGATGAGACATATGACTGAAGATTGGTATCAGGAAAAGAAAGAAAAAACATCAACCTGATGTGCAAGGTTATGAATTACAACAACACTTCGGGCATCCTTATAAACTCCATATGGACGATACTTGGCAGCCAAAAGTCTGAATCAAAGGACATATAATGATTAGAACTCCACCATCACTAACTAACTTTACTCGAAAAAAGGAAAATAAAGAAAGAAGGAAACATATAGCAAAAGAATTAAGAAAGAAAACCATATAGCTAACCAATTAATTAGTTGAAACTACTTACAATGGCACAAGGCCTGCATGCCAGTCATTGACCATAAATAGGCATTTTTCCCCAAAGGTGTACCCTCCCAATGGAAGCACCAATGGTGCTTCACATGCTGCATGGCAAAGTAAAGTGAACCGAAACTGTAAAACCAAATGAGAATAAAACTTATCATTATTTGTGAATAAAACAGGATACAACTTAAATGATCTATCCGCTATGTACAACTTGTTCAATTCAAAACTATACCTGATTATCACCAAATGCACCAAAACTATCTCCATATGGATTTCCAGGCCTGTGGAATGATGGGTGGTCCACAAATACCTAAAGAAGCGAGGGAATGAGATCGTCATTGTCAAGAGAAACCTCCCAGTCTGGACATATTACTAAAGAACAGATTCGGGGTCTAAAAAATTATAAATCTCCTGCCAAACTGTTTTAAGAAGGATATACTAGAACACAAGAAATATCCTCAATATCTTACCCAATCAACACCTTCCCTGTATTCATGGAAGAAAGCAACTTCTTGGTCTCCTCCAAAACAATAGATCTTGATGTGGGTATCCAAATCAAGAGCACCAGAAAATTTCTGGTCTGCAGCAGTACCGTTTTGATATCTAGGAGAGACAACCATAACACGGTGTCCACGAGCAGCTAGAACAATAGGCAAAGAACCACAAACATCTCCTAAGCCTCCTGTCTTTGAATAAGGTGCAGCTTCAGCAGTAACAAACACAATGTTGCGTGTTACTTTTGCTTTGGATTTTTCTTTGCCATCTATGTCCTCTGTTTCGTCCACTCTATCGGAAGTTGCATCTTCAGGAGACGAGTCAGGGACTTTGAGTTCACCTGCAGAAAAAAAATATCAGATGGGTCCGCAAAAATTCATATTCAATTTTTTTCTTGCAAACTGATGTGCTGGCGTGATTATGAATTCGTTTTGTTTAAATAGCCGGAAAAAAGAAAAGGAAGATGTCAACATGCAGGATTTGGAACTATTCATCAAATTTGCAGGGTCGCTGAATTCTAACAATGAAATGCAGCCCACTGTTAGACAATCCAAGGAGGAGACCACATGGAATGCAAGGACCTGAGTCTTCACATGCAAATTGATGTGGACATCGAAAACCAAGGGCGCCTCACAGACAAGAAAAGATTCCATGAAAATCCACCACTAATTATGAAAGGCCCTAGTATACTAAAAATAGAAACTTCATCGACACATCATACATCTCTTATCAAATCAAAAGCAATGAATTTTGGGAACTGAGGGCTAAACAACACTTAGAATTTTAAGAGCATTCACTCCATATGTACCAACCAGTGCATCAAATATCTATCATCATGCCAAGGTTAGGTTGTGTCTCCATCAGTGCGCCATACAATGTGATCACATAAAATCTTGCTGCTAACTAAACATTCAAGTTTTTGGTCAAATTTTCCATCAGAAAAAAAGAGGGGGAGGGGGGAATTGTCTTGGTACACTTCCTCCGCCTTACTTTCTCATCTATAAGTGGCACGCATAGATCAGATTTGACAGTTAGCTTCTGCTTCAACAAAAGGGCCTTAAAATTCATTGAAGAATCCGTGATAAACCAATTTGAAAACAGGGAAAAGCCGAAGAATTTACAGATGGAAAAACCAAGAAAACGAAGGAGGAAGGCATTTAATTTAACAGTATGAACAAAAAAATTCAAACAAGTCTCTGCCCAGATAACAGAGCCAGAGCCAAAATTGAAAACCAAGCCTGAAAAGACAAACAAACAAACATACCATTGGGAGGAATCAAGTTAAACCCAATAACAGAGCCAGAGCTATCCGTCTCGGCGCCCAAAAGAACACCTTTTTCCTCCCTCTGGTCTTCAACTGCTGAAGCCCCGTCTTGGGCACCGCCACTTCCACCTGAAACTTGTGCTCTAAGCCTCAAAGCCGGTCTTCTACTTCTTCTTTTCCACAGAGGAACAAAACCTGCTTGCCCAATCACCTCATGATTCACAAATTTAGTAGTTGGAATCAGATTTACGGATGATTTGCATGGGATTAAACTAGTAAATTTCAGAGACTCCATTAGAGTTTGTTTGACACAGAAGGGCTGGAGAGAGAGAATAGACCCGAGTCCAATATAGGACGGAAGGTATCGTGAATTACGTTTGAAAGAACGTAGAAAAGCCAGCAAAATTAGATGTCACACACAAACAGGGAACTACGTACACCTGTGGGGATCAGATATGTGAGATCCAGAAAAAGCGCCAAACTCAGAAAATGGATCCTCAGTGTTACACCACATCCCTGTAAAAAATGTTCGCCCAATCCAATGCTCCCACGTGTCATATACTAAAGAACACATTTTGTCGGTTTTATGCCGTGCAAAATATCACGACAGGCAGGATGGTTTTGGCGTCTGATAGTGGCACACAGGCGATTATGACTCAGGTGATTGACGCGTGGCATATTCAGGACGGTACACGTGGAAAGTGATAAATAGATGAGAAGTGGGGTGAGATGCACATGATGCCAAAGCTGCTTTGGCAAAGCAGATCAACTGTCAACTGGAAACTGCACTCGAACAATTGTGTCTTTCCCGAGAGTCACATGAAATGAAACTATGTTACTTCTTTCTCCTTCTTCTTTTTTATTTTTTATTTTATTTTTTTTTGGTTGCCCTTTTTGTTGTTAATTAAGTTGCAAAAAACCCCAACCTAGTAATAGTGAAATTAATAGATAATTATAGTTGTACTTGAATGATAATAATGCGGACATTTTACCTAAATATGATCATATATTTGATCATACATAACATAACGGCACCATTTCTATAATATTTCACAGATAATTATATATTTATTACAAGCCTCGTCGATCCTTTATCATTCCACAATTAAATAAATAATAACATACAAAGTCTGTTTTGTTTTTTGTTAATGAAAAAAATCCAGCCAAGGAAATTCATATCACACCTTACTCAAAGCACGTTAGTCGTAATCATGTCTCCAACCATGAACAGCAAGAGGCAGGCCCCAATCCTCACCACGGGGTGAGTCTGGGCCAAAGGCCACACCTCCTCTACCCTGCCCACGTGGTCCATTGTGTTTTGGGCTTGGACTTCTTGGGATTAGGAAGGTTGCTGTCCCTCCACCTGAGCTTGACGAATCACAGCCCGATCCAATTACAGACCCTCTCTTTGTTGATGGGTTCCATTGAGGAGTGGGCGGGCTGCGCTGCTTGCCTAAGCCTAGGCCTCGTGCCTTGGCCTTAGCAGATTGGGTCGGGGCCATGTAACTGGGGACATTGTTCGAGCTTTGTCGGCGGTGCTGCCGGGTTGAATAGGGGCTCGAGTCGATCATGTCCTGATTGAGTAGGTCCATATTGATGTGAGGCGAGTTCGAAGCTGCGACTGTGTCCATTTCAACTGTCTTCTCGGACATGTTGTCGGTGGTTGTTGTGGTGGTGATGTTTGTCCCATAAGAGGTATCTCGTGGTCCTGAGTGGCGGGCCTGGTGGGGTTGCGATGACATCCAACGCTCGAGCCAATTCCAACCCCATTGGGCCTTGTCGCTCTGATTGGGCTGGAGCCCAAATTCAGTACCATCATGAGTGGGTTGTAGAAGTTGTTGCTGCTTCTGAAAACCAACAACAGGGAAACCCTATAATTAAATGGATCATACACAAAGACGAGCAAAAGAGCTGACTGACGCAGACACAGACCTGGTAGCTATAAGCATAAGCGAGAGCTCTCTCTCTTTTGACCTCAGCATCATGTTTCTTTGAGGCATTTTCCTTGTAGCTTTGATGCCTAGTGGTGCCGTTCCTACTTTGCATTTCATATTTCTTCACGGGACTCTTGAGCTTTTGCTCTTCAGCTTCCTCCATAAATGCTCTTCTTTCGTGTTCATCATCATCGTCGTCGTCATAATATTGATCCTGATCTGCCTTGTTGTGAAGCTTGCCTTTGGTTAATTGGAGCCGTCGAGCTCGAACTCTGGCTTGTACACGCACTAATGCCTGCATGCACCGCATTGTCATTTGTGCTTGCTTTCGCACATTATGGCCTCTCACCAATGCTTGTAGCCTCACCAATCCCTTCAAAGCACGTCGCGCACGTCGAGCCTGCATAATTCAAAATTAATTAACACAATAATTCTTATAACTTATAAGCAAGTTAATTAATGTGTCGGGCTTAAATTAAATTAAGGGAAAAGGGTAATTACAAGGTAGCCTCTGTAATGTGACTGTATGAGAGTTGCAGCTCTTTCTTCCTTAGAGTGGCGTCCATAGCCGGCCAATCGAACAACTTTAGCAGCGGCTTGTGCAGCGACAACAGCAGCTTCAGCAGCGGCAGCGGTTGCCACGGCAACAGCAATGGCATGGTTTCTATCTTTATCAGAATTGAGAGGAGTTGATGATACAGTGGTGGACTCATCGTTGGTGATGTCCGGTGAACTCTCTGCAGGAAAATGTTCAAACGACACAACCTCTGCCGCATCATGTTGCTGCCATTTCTCCCCAGTTAATTCCTTCTGAAATTAAATCATGTCACATAATAACAATACTATTAGAAATTAGAATTAGAACTAAATTAAGACACGACAATGTGTCCATCCCTTTTCATCCAAGTTCAAATCATTTTTCTCGTATGGTAGATTAATTTACAGTAAGTTAAACTATTATTTGTATATATATAAAAAATGCCAATACTATGGTCCCTGATGTGATGGCTTAGGTGGCATGACAATAATAAGTCATGACTCCTTCATGTGCCTTAGTGTGCATAGCTAGCTAGAAAGATTAGCTTAGCTTGGTTTGGTATATCAATATGTGTATGATGATGTTGATAGGGGACCATAGGATGGGATGGGATGAGCATCTTTCTTTTCTGCGTTCATGGTCCTAAAAATGCCAGTAAAATAAGGGTAGCTCTGGCTCATCTTTCATGTGATTCCACTTGTGCTTTTCATCACCTTCCAACAAACAAAGGTCACGATCTTGATTCATATATATATGTTGTATCTAAGTAATTATTCTAAATCATTTTGCAAAGCATATATATATACATATATCCCCTTTAACAATTTGTACTTAAGTTAAAAGAGTAACTAATGAGTATGCGTGATAAGCACTGCAGCCTAGAAAACTTGATGCAGAGTTGATTACTTCATTTGTGAACTAAGAAAAAATAGTGAGATAATTAAGAAATAATTAACCTTTTTGTCCGGTGAGTCCTTAGAAGAATTTTTGAAAACTTTCTTAACTGACGAAAACCAGCTGCTTCCTTTCTTCCCCATCTCCGGCGAGAAGATCAACTCGATCTCATTGCCCTCATCGTATTCACAAAACCCACCACAATGTCAGGACGTAGAAATTGTATCTCCTGCCGTCCAAGTCAAAAAAAGAACCATAATTTGAATTGAAACAGCAATTCAGAACCATACAAATATTTATATAGAAATGAGACGATGAGAAGAATCTAAGTTGAAGAGCTTGGTTCTGTTGGCCTGAACCTAATTGCTCTCATCTTACAATCATATATAATTCAGACAGACATATATATCTTTCTCAGAAATCAAACAAAGAAAATGAGGTGAAAAAATCAAGAGCGAAGCGAGAGGGAAACATTTCTAGAGGGAGACAACAAACAAACCTCAGCAGCAAGAGACAGAGGGAGAGAGAAATGGAAGGGCGAATGGGAAGGGGTGTGTGTGAGTGTGAGGGTAATAACTGCTTGCCCACGCAATCGCCGTTACTATTTAACGATTTCACGTGTGATTCGATCTAGTATACATACTACATATTTACATTACATACCATAATAATATAATGTTAATGTTTGCAGTTGCCAAGTTGGTCCAATTGGTCTCCTGCCACGTCATCTAGGGCACAGCCTTTTTTTCAACACTCTTCTTCGGCTGTATTATATATATATACAAATTACTAACCTTGTGCAAGAAACAAAATAATTAGATTATAAGCCTTTTCCTTTTAATCAAGTCACGGACTTAATGCTTTTTTTTTTTAACTTTTCTATTTTCCCATCTTAATATATAATTAATTGTTAGTTTGGCATAGGAAATATTCCAAATTAGAGTTAAATCAATCAAATCATTAACTGTAATGGAGTTATTGCAAATTAATAATTCCCTTCCCCACCAAACATATAAAGAGATCCATGGTAACTTTTGCTAATGACATTTGTTTAATTTTAGGGAGCATACTGCTTTGCTTGCTTAATTAATTAAACCTTTTTTTTTCTTCTTCTTAAAATTACAAAGAAAATATTTATAAAAAAATCATTATTATATATGAAAGACTTTTCATTTTCTTGTTTTGTTTGAAGGGAAAAATTCAATATTCTGTCACGCAGCTTAAAACTTAGGTCACATCCATGACCCCAAGTTGCAGGGCATACATAGTGCATATACGTTGGCCTGTCTTTTGTATCTTCCAAGTTCCCTTGGCTGGCTCCACCTCCACCACAGTCCACTTAATTAATAATTATAAAATCAGCCTCACCATCGCTGTTAGGGTTCACCAAATTCTTATTACCACACAACTAATTCCTCAAACTCACCAAAAACACAGCCTCCCCACTTTGCCAACGCATGATTAATTTGGTGAAGAGTTAGACTCCATGTCCCCTGTCGGTTGCCAATTCGCAATGGCTTCTTTTTGGCTTTTCAAAGAGTAATTATGGTTTTGCCAAACGAATTTCTATTTACATTGTGTTAATTAATGCAATGCGCACAAACAATATTGTACGTATTGGTCTTTTTTGTGCATTAAATTTTTTAGTTTCCATTGGGTGTGACTGACTTGTGACTTGTGACTTGTGAGGAGATGAGGGAAAGGGAGAGGGGATATTTGTAAGGCTACTGCATGTATTATATATGTACAGATTTGTCTGTTTTCAATTTCGCAATTAAGAAAGAAACCTGTACTGTGGGGAATATGGTTCCACCACATAAATAAATAACTTTCTTCCTTGCTGAGCTGTGAAGTTATTTTGCACATAGCTAGCCAACCAAACCAGGCTATGAGTACTTGAAAATGGAGAATAAAAGACTTTTACTAAGTGGTAGATGACCCTATTATTGCTTGCATTTAAAGGTACTCTTTTCTGCCCTGCTTTTGATGGATTAAATTTTGGTTGGTGAAATGCAGCTTTCATAATATTTAAGTTCGAACGTTATTATTACCACGCGGATGTTATGTATTTTCTATTATCACTTCTTGCTTTCCTTCATGTTTACATTGACATACACAT